ATACAATTATTAGGATTATTGAGTTACACTTTATTTTAAGGTGTCCTTCTTACAGTGTAATTACAGTATACATTTAAGTACTGAGTAATAGTAATTAACTACATGTACTTACTATATGGTTAGGGTTAGGATTAGGGTTTTGGCTAAAGGTTGCTTGCATGTAATCATGCATAATTTATTGTTATTATAATATTAAGTGCATATAACATGTGTACCAAGGACACTTTAAAATAAAGTGTTACTGATTATTCTTTTAAGATTTTAATTACACTACAAGTGCACATTCAATGTAATTAAGTGCACTTTTTCACAAGGGTAGAAGTGAATCATTAAATGTATCACTACATTTATTCATATACTTAGAATATTTGTAATAATAATTAGGTTTAATGTAAAGGTTTTATGTGATATTCTAATTTTCACATGGGTTTAATTCATTAGCATGTTAGTCAATACATTGATATAAGTGCACTTCTTTAAAGCACAATAAAATATCATTAAAACAATTACTTAAAATGTACTTTTAATTTGGCATTATTACCAAGAGCATTTTTTAAAAGTTAAGTGTGTTACTTAAGTGTATTAAATTGTACTTAAAAGTGCACTTAAGTGGTCTTTTTTTCTTTATTTTAAAGATTTTTAGAACAGAAGTGCACATTTAAATGTAATTAAACACTTATTTTCACAAGGCTAGAAGTGGATCATTAAGTAGTATTACTAAATGTATTCATATACTGGGAATATTTGTAATACTGTTTAATGTAGGAATTAGGACGCAGATGCATTGCATTATATAAGTCACATGATCTATATGGCAGGAATATGATGTGCGGAAAAGCACCTGATGGAACATTATCATCCCCAAAAGTTTCCCTGCCCCACCTCTCCACTTTGGTGCATATATGACCTAGGACTCTCATTGGCAACAATCATGCAGACAGGCATATAGTCATGGGATCATGGGATTGAAACTTAATCTGAACAGTGAGTGGGTAACTGAACAAAATGGTCCAGCTGGTTGTGTTCGGGGGGGATGGGAGATATGACCAATGACGTCTCAGATTACATGTACAAACACACTCACGCAGCTGGACGTCTATTAATATAAAAAGAAGAAAGTGGCCACACTCTTCAAAAGTCATTATTTAAGAAAGCATGGTTAGCTATGTTTCCATCCATTATTTTTGAATTTTGAGGTATCACAACATTTGTTTGGAAAGATCAAGATTCAAGATTCACATAAAATCTTTTTTTTTTTATCTGGTAAGAAAACTGTGACAGAAACACATTTACAGAATAAATTTCAGGATCCCCAAATTAAAAACTAATGTGACTTTACCTGACCAATGACGTCTCAGATTACATGTACAAACACACTCACGCAGCTGGACGTCTATTAATATAAAAAGAAGAAAGTGGCCACACTCTTCAAAAGTCATTATTTAAGAAAGCATGGTTAGCTATGTTTCCATCCATTATTTTTGAATTTTGAGGTATCACAACATTTGTTTGGAAAGATCAAGATTCAAGATTCACATAAAGTTTTATCTGGTAAGAAAACTGTGACAGAAACACATTTACAGAATAAATTTCAGGATGCCCAAATTAAAAACTAATGTGACTTTACCTCAACATATCTGATTGGATAACTGATCTAAAAAGCAGACCAATATCATTGCACACCATTTCTCAAATATTGTTTTATTCTAAAAAAAACAAAATTATTTGGTATAATAACCTCCCAGAACTTTCTCAAATGATTGCATTCCCAAACATCATGGATCTGCCTCTTAATGCAAGATGACATGACAGCATTTGTTACGGTGTTTCATATTTTATTCAAAATTTACAATGTAGGAACAATGTCACAGGCCTCCCCAGATGTAGCAACTTTTTATTATGTTATTACTGATACTTTGCATCATACTTTTCTCTGGAACAACGGGATCCAATTGTTGAGCTTAATTCTTTAGTATACTTGTACAATAAATTGTACTTCTTTAAAGCATGATAAAATATTATTAAATCAATGATTTAAAATGTACTTTAACTAAAAACCTTTAATTTAACATTATAACGAAGAGCACTTTTTAAAAGTGTACTTAAGTCTATTAAGAAACTGTAATGAAATTCTCTCTCTTTAAGTGCACTTAAGTGACCTTTTATTTCATTAATATTATATTATCTGCAGGTACAGGTTTTTGGGATCACTTTAAATATTTAAATTACACAAGAAGTGCACATTCAATACATTTAAGCACACTTGTTTTCATAAGGATTGAACTAAATGAGTGCACTGATAAGTGAGGAGCAATTCAGATGCAGGTGGTATTTCTAATAATCTAATTCTTGAACGCATTTGATTAGAGAAAGTTTACCCTAAAACATTAAAAATGCTGTGAATCGTGTCCACATTTAGAATTGCACTTGCATTTAGATGATCTTCAAGCTAATAGACAGAAACCTTGGATGGAAACAGCTTTTGGCTTGTGCTATAATGGTTACACCAGTCAAAGAAAAGCCAAATAACCTTTTAACATGTTACTCTGAAACTCGTAGACATTAACATGCCATCTGAGATGCCTGAGTCACCCAGCGATGGAAAGGTGGAATCAGGTAGCCTCGAATGGCTCCGCGTCACTGCCAGTCCAATGCAGATGAACCCCGGGTGGAGTTGTGCGTCACCCCGATCCCAGGGCCCCTCGAAGGAGGCACTGCTGCAACAGGAGAGGCCGGCTTCCTCTGTAATCTCGGCTAGCGTACTCTGTGGTTGTCATACAATCCCACAGGTCAGGGCTGGGGCAGGGCAGAGTGTCACGAGGTGTGTTGCCATGGACTCAAAGAACACATGTTTTTTTATAGACAGGAGACAAGTGTGAGTGTGCACTTATGTGTTGATGTTGTGGAAAGAGCAGCGTCATGAGATTGTTCTTGATTGAACCAGGCTTTCGTGTGTCCGTGTCTGGAGAACTTAAAAAGCCTGAACACAAACTTGTCACCTCTAGTTAAAGCTGTGTGTGTGTGTGTGTGCGTGTGTGTGTGCGCGCACATGGCGGGCTGTCATTCGCTCCAGGCCATTCCCCATGGCCACTGGCTGTTTTAAGTGACAGGCCATCAGCGCTGAGGTCACTGGGTGAAATGAGAGGTGCAACCAAGGCTGAGTGTAAGACTTCACATAAAGCCACACAATGATCCCAGTGCAGTGTAAGGGGAATAAGACATATTGAGATGGACTCGTAACGTGACATATTCGAAAAGAGTGACATTAAACTAGATTTTCACATTTTCTGAAGAACATTTGAGTGGTGCTCAAACGTGTGAAACTCATCAGCATGATTCCTTGGTGTACTTATTACTGAAATAATATACTTTAAAAGATAACACTCACGTGTGAACTAAATGTTATGTTTTCAGACGTTTAATTGTATATGAATTGCAAATAAATGAAAATGCATTATAGTTTAAATTGATAATAAATGCAAGTGTACTCTTTGTTTGTTTATTTCTGACTCACTTAAGTAAGCTTTATACGTAATGTCATGAATCACTTCTTTGTATACTGCTGAATACACTGATAAGCATTTGTTGTAAACTAATGTCATTTCTATTGAAACTTGTTGTCATGTATTTAAATACATTTGTAATGACATGTTTGTAGTGATGAAATTGTTTCTGGTAGCCATTGACTTCCATAGTATCAAAATTCATTGGTAACAACACTTTTTGGTAATGAAATTACAAATGTGTAACAGGACTAACAGCACTTTTTGGTAAAGAAAGTGTTACACTTTATATGGATTTACCATGTAAATACTCTGATGTTACACAGCAGTGGCCAGTAAGTTAGGCTTTACATATAAATTGTGGTTGGTGGTCAGAATGTTACACTTTATATTAAGTGGACAGTTCCTGAGGAGTTACCATGTAAGTACACTGGTATTACAGTGGTGCACCAACTCCACCAACTTGAGATCCAACTCCTCCTACTTTACATATCCCTAAACCTACCCATCTACACCCCCTGGATCAAATTGTTCCAATTATTCTTATACATATTGTTGTTACAAATATAGTTATATATGTCCTGTTACACATTTGTACTTACACAAACCATTCGGAGGGTTGTTTCATGTGTGTAGTTACAGAAATATTACAGCTCTAGATACGATGTACCAATGTGTACTTACACTGTGGTTACATACTACGTACACATCTAGTTACTATGTAAGTACACAGGTATTAGGGCCACTTAATACAAAGTGGGACCAAATAAAGACACCCATGCAGGTTTGGAACAACTTGAGGGTGAGTAAATGATGAGTTTTCATTTTTGGGTCAACTATACCTTTAAGTGTGTAACACTTTCATGACATAGTATCTGTGAATACAGTGGTGTTGTTGTTGTTTTAATCAAAAGGAATTGGCCACAGCCAACAGGAAAATTAATTGGAATGACAGGAAGTTTAATGTACTGAACTGCAATTCAAAGAAATGCAATATATGTAATGCATTCTGGTACATTAAGTGTTTTTCCACACTGGTATTATTTATGTATTATTTAAAAGTGTGGCTTCCAAACTTTATTTGTTTGTTTGTTTGTTTGTTTGATGAAATCTTATTGACTAAATACAATTTTGTATGTCATCTATCTATCCATCCATCCACCAAAACTTTCAAATTAAGCTGGGCCAAACCATGGTTCAATGTTTGTTTATACAAACTTTGCTTTTCTAGTTACAGATTTCATTTCAATGTATTTCTTTGAATTTCAATAATCAATTTGAATTCAGCTTCCTTACATTCAAATTCCAATTGCATCTGCATCCTGTTTGCTACAGAAATTTTAATTGAATTTGAAAGGTATTCTCAAGTCGGTTCAGAATGACGCAAATTCCATGGTTGCTATGGTGTTCCAGGTAATTGCTAGGGTGTTGCTTGGCGGTTGCTAGGGTTTTGAGAGAAGTTGCTTAGTGTCCAAAAGAGCTGCTAATTCAAAAGAGCTGAGAAGTCTCTTTAGATGGCAACTGGGTTTGTCTTTCAATGTAAGTCTACAGGATTGTCCCCCAATTGTTCGCCAGGCGAAAACTGAACATCTGAATTTTTAGAATAATAACGGTACACCTTTCCTTAAAAAAACTGCATCTGGGTGGTAAAAAGATTTACGAAAAAGATTTACGTAGCACTGATTCACTGGAACCCGCAGGCACATCAGTGAACAGTCACAGTGTTGAGAACAGGCAAGCACTCTCTCAGCACTGTCACCACGCTAATGTACGCTTATTTAAATCGAGCTGTCACACTTGGTGTGTCATGCATCGCAACGGCACCCTGGGGAACATAAGAGATCCTGTCTGACCTTTGACCTGGCTGCCACTCAGCCAATCAGTTAAGTGTGCCGCTTCATATGCCGTGGTCTCACGTGAGAGTTCTTATAATGCTCGATGAAGGGGAAGTCCTGACCTCACGGATGCAAAGAAAGATTTGTTTTAACCTGCATAGTAATCAAGTATTATGCATTAAACTTCTAGAAATACTACAAAGTCTGCTCTCTATCTACCAAAATTATAGTAAATGCATATGTTCATTTTGCAGATGTATATTGTCAAGGCTGTGCTATATGATATCCCCGAGTTACCAGTTCATTTTCAATGAAAGAGACGTGGGATGCAGAACCGAACCAGCACTGCTAGTCAGTCTTGTTGGCGAAAATCCTAACATATAATCGCAGCATACAATACACATGATAAAGATTTTGACCAATCAAAAATAATTTTATTTACAATAGCATTTAGTTTTGATGTGGTCAAAGAACATGAAGGGGAACTTTCCCTGTTTTGTTGCATTTATTCCTTTTTCCCGTCAAAATTATCATATTTTTACATAAAAATGCAATGATCTGAAAAAGTCTGCAGGGAATTGCAAGCATGTATATTTACAAAAGCTTTGGCTCCATTATTCTTTTTTTCTCCCCTCACAAAAAGAAGCTCATAACTATGAACAATTAGTTTGTAGTTCACATCACATTTGAATTTCTCACTCAAGCAAACTGGACATGTTTTGGAATGTGTAGCTACAAAAGAGTAAGTACAATTGTCTGTAATTTGCACAATAACTAAATGCGCATGGCATGCTGGTCAAGATGATTCTCAGTGAAATCACACTTCACAGCTTGTAAACATTCTTTCATCATGTGAGTCATTATGTGCAAAAATGATCCATTCATTTATCAAAATATGTCAGGAAAACATGTTTATTCCATAAATATTTCTGACATTGCTGTCTGTTTACATGTAACACATTGCTCCAAAAATAAATGTACTGTATACAGTACATTAAAATGTGCATTTGTTTTTCTGTGTAGTAATGTAGTGAGTTTTCCCAGTAAACTTTTACCTACTGTTGAAATCTAAAAAGCTCAGTAGGCCTACAATGCACTTTTTTCCCCAAACATAATATATATATATATATATATATATATTTTACTTATGTATGTGTATGTATATATATATATATAAAATATTATTAATATAATATTTATTTTTTCCCCAAATCAAAACAAGTAGCAAGACCATGTTTATAAATGGTATTAAGATCTGTCGTGGGTGATCCAATCATACGTGACCACACTGTACCAGGACTAAATATAGTGTAAGTGAGGTCAAATCGCTTTGACGAAATCACACAGACCACATTCAGAGGTCAGAAACACATGTGACCACACTGTATTTACAGTATAAACACATAACTACCCTGATGCATCTGGGGAGGGGGGGCATCTAAAGGAATAAACTGCACTAAATGTTTTAATCCAATTGCAAGTGGTCAGAGAAGACAAACAGTATTTGAGATGCATGTTACTATCAAGTGTAAGCTGTGATCGGATCACCTGAGACAGATTGTAAACGGAGCCAATACTGTAAAAACTAAAGTGTGTACAATAGAGTGCTACAGTGATGGCATATTTTTGTAGGAAGTTAGCATCACACTGGTTCCCTCAACAAAAACACAGTAATATTTTTCTATTAGCTTTTGGATCATTGCATAAAATAAGTTGAGTTTACCTGTTCGATGTGATGATGTTTAATGTCCCCTACAACCCCCGTAGTCCCATATAGTTACTTCTTAGCAACCAACTTTTTCAAGTCAAGTAGCTTTTTAAAAAATCACAAGAGGGGATTACTGATGCATTTTGTGTCATAGAATAAAATGTAAAAGTACCTTGAGCTTGTGTTCACCACAGACCTTATTTCAGGCATTTAACAAAAAACTAAAAAAAAGCCACTGTCTTCAGGATGATGCAACCAGAAATGCTAAAATGCTTGTTTCCAAATTTGGCCTACAAAAATACGCCATCCATGCAGCACTGTTTACAACATCTCTTTGTATCTGAGGTCACTGTATTTACCTTTTCCTAATGCTAAACCACATTATTGTTAAATATCTTTTGCAAATGTATTTCGTGCCATATTGGTGTAATAAACATCAACCTATTTTTTCTTCTGTTCTGTCTCTCTTTCTCTCTCTCTCTCTGGCTGCCCGTGGCTCCAGGGCCATATTCCTGGCTCGTTACTAGGTTTCACAGACAGTATAATTTCAGCCTGACACCGCCTCAAACGAACGGCTGTCAAGCCCTAGCGCCGCCGTGGGGGAACTCATGGGACGTCGTCTCAAAAATGTCACTTTCCCACTTGCCAGCAAAAAAAGTAAAAGAAAATGAAAGGAAAAACAAACTGCACATGGCCTGGGAACCACTGTTTTAACCGTGACAGGAAAAATGGACACCGTTTTGGGACAGAGAAAATTGTGTGTGTGTGTGTGTGTGTGTGTGCGTTTAAGGTACTCTGTCCCTAAGAGCGCCACTTAAAATAATGTAGTGAAGTGCTAGTGTATGAGAATGACTGTATCTGATGCAGTTTGGGCCTGAACTTTCAAAAAAAGGAAAGTTTTTTACTGACATATATGGGTCCATGAAGAACCTTTAAAAGAAAAATTCACCAAAGATTTTGATTTGCTGTTAACCTGGACTACTCACCGTCAGGCCATCCAAGATGTAGGTAGGTGCCTTTTTCAGTAGAACAGTAAAGATTTTTAGCTGAAACTGTGATCCTTTGTGATTCATAAATGCAAGTCAATGGCTACCATCACTTTGAGAGTCAAAAAAGCACATAAAGAAACACAAAATGAATACCCATGGCTCCTAACGATATATTGAGATCTTATGAAGCTTAACGATCGGTCTGTGCAAGAAACTAAACATTTACAAAACTATTACCTGTAATGCAAATGAATCATTCTTTTGAACTGGTTATTTTTTAGTGAACTGGATGAATCGTCTGAAACAGTTCGCAGTTCAAGCAGCACAGATCTTACTCTAGTTACTCAATCAAAACTCACTTTGGGACGCCTGACAGTCAATCTGACTCGAAATGAGCCAAAATACCGGTGTATATGATCCTAGGATGCCACAGTTTGCAAACTCATACAGGGCTCCAGTTCCTCCAACAGTCCCTGAACTGAGAAAACAGTTCAGAATCGGACCGAAGCACTTGAACCGAGCACTTGAATGAAGGGGCGAAATGAAAGTTTTTATGGTTTCTAATGGTCTATGTAAAAAGATGAGTTGATTAAGACTAGTTTATTCACTTTATATGCTTTAGACATGTATAACAACAGTGTTTCACATCAATAATGGGTGCTTCAACAATGTAATTGTGTAAATCATTACATAAATATGTAAAAGAATTGGTGATTCAGATATTTGAAGAAGTTAATTGAAACAAACTCTCTGAAAGAAACAGATCACAGAAAAAAATCTGACTTTCCCGTTTGTCTGAGGCTCTGGATTACAGGTGATAATGCTGTATATAATGTTCAGTTTCTTGCACAGACTGATCGTTTCGCTTCATAAGACCTTAATATATCATCAGGAGTCACAAATATTAATTTTGTGTTGCCTTATATGTTTATTTATTTATTTTATTTTTTTAACTCTCAAAGTGACGATGACCATTGACATTGCATTTTATGAATCACCAAGGACCACGGTTTCAGCTAAAAATCTTTGCTGTTCTGCTGAGGAAAAAAGTCACTTGCATCTTGGATGGCTTGAGGGTGAGTAAATTAACACAAATTTTCATATTTGGGTCAACTATCCTTTTAATATCCATAGAACATTTCCATTACACAAAAGTGAAATAAATAAATAAATAAATAAAAGTTCTTTATTGGCATTGATGGTTCCATGAAGAATTTTTAACGTTAATGGAATCTTTCCATTGCACAAAAGTTTCTTTAAATTGAAACAAAGTTCTCTTGTTTAATAAAATGTCTTCCCAGAAAGGTTTTTTTGTGGAACTCAGTTTGGTTTTTCTATGGCATCACTGCAAAAAAGAGTTCCCTTTTGGAACCCTAATTTTTAAGAGTTTGTTTATTACATTTGTGAATATGGCATATTATGCTTTTGCCTGTTTGTGCAGATATACCACTTTTTACGCATTTGGGTTCAAGCAGTATGTAATACTTTAGGGATGTAAAACATTTTATATTGTGTTTGAGCAGGTGTGCGTTTGTCTTCTATCCCTACAGTGTGCTTCCCTGTGTCTGTGAGCTTCCTGGCCTCACTACAAAGCTCTCTCTCTAAGCACATGGGTCTTGCCTGATCCCAGTGTCTTCAGCTCTACCTCTCCTGGTCCTCCGCCAGCCGCGCTTGCCTGAGCTCCACAGCCAGGGACCCTCCGCACTGGACCAGGCACCCACCATGCCCCCATCATTTACTTCCTTTAAGCCACGGACAGGCAGAGACGGAGCAGCTCGCCAACGGCCCGATGCCAGGCCTGCCGCCTCTGATAAACAGAAACCCTCCTCTTTCTGCCCAGCTCTCTGCTTTTTTTCCTCCATCCCTCTCACGTCTCTGCAATAGCCGGCCCGTACCAGCATCTGTGGACTCAGGCGAAGGAAAGGCAGTTGCCAAATTCAGTTATTTTCACTGTTTTTCTCTTTTCTGGAACGGAAAGAGAGTTGCTTGTATGAGATCCAGTTTAAGCAGGGAAACAACGGAGAGCGACTGAGAAGCCATGAAGACGATTAGGGAAGCTTTTCTCCTAAACAGTGTTTTGTGATTCTGAAGTTCGTAAAACACTGAAGAGACTATGACGATTTGACATGAAATATCTACACAAATTAGTGTTAATGAAATGCTTTTCATATTGCCTATTTGAGGCAGATGGTAGAGCTGGACAGTATGATCATATATGTTGTGTGATGATAGAAATGTGTGACCTGCTGTGGCAAAGACTTGTCTCTTGTGAAAAAGACTTTAAAACAATATACTTAAGTGCAAACTTAATGTATTTTTTGTAGACACTTAATTGCATGTTAATAGCAATTAAATGAAAAGGTATTATAGTTTACATTCAAATTAAATTATGTTTGCAAAACGTCAGAGGGCTTTTTGGACACACAAATGAAGGACTAAAGTACATCTTTATAATTTCATAATTCTATTGTCTTTGAAATATGGTTAAATTAAATTATGGTTAAATTGTACTGCCAAATGTACTAACAAGCATTTATGGTAAACTAAATGGTATTGTAATGCCAATTTTATTGAACATGTCATGTATTTAAATACACATTTGTACTGATGAAGTTGCCATTTACTATATTTGATATATTAACTTGTAAAATGTAATATCAAATAACAAAACAGAGTTGAAATTTTAATCAAGTACTTTACATGTGCTTTACTGCACTACAACAACATTGGTGTAGGATTAAATTTTTAACAACTTTTACTTAGAAATTGCCAGCAAATTTCACAAACAATCACAAATAAATGGCAAGTAACACACTTAATTAAACATGCAATTCTGGAGTATAAGTATTTTCTTGTAAAAAAGTACTCCAATAACCTTTGAACAATCATGTTTAATTGTATGTTGGTAAACACATTAAAAAATGTGAAGTTTGTTAAATCATGCCAAAATTTACTTTAAAAGTAAAACCATTAACATGACATCATTACAAAGTGCACTTTTTAAAAACATACTTAAGTGTGTTAAGAAACAGTCATGCAAGTGTCTCTTGTGCCTTTTATTCCATTAATATATCAACAGCAAGTATAGTATTGTTAGTATACTTTTTAGATTTGAAGTACACTACATTTGCACATTCAATAGAATTAATTCCACTTGGCTACTGTATGTAATATATAAAATATTTCAGGTGGCTGAATTTCCAGCAAAAAACATCATAGGCACCAAATGTTGTTGTGAATTAAAACTACTCATAACAATATAAGATTTTGGTCATGCAACCCACCTCTAGCTACAAATGGCTTACTTACAGATGTCTCTGCACATTAAATTGGAACGGGAGAAACTTTTTAGCAGTGCTTAAATCTATAGAGGTCTAGCAGATTTTCTCCTGGTTACGGTGTCGAGAATGCATTTTGAGACTTGTGCACCTCGTTCAGCAGATTACCACAGGCACTGTGCCTTTCCTACTGGAACAATGAGGGTTAACCACTTGCTGTTAACCTAATTCTAATTCTGTCCTCCTGGTGACATCATCAGCTAGCGCCCCTGGGGCAAGTTTGAGGTCATTATTCCCAGACGTCTGTTTTAGGCAGGAATGGGGGGAAGGGAGCCTTCCCTTCTTTCATTTCACACTCTACTGGTTCAGGATCCTTCATAGTCAGCATACTAACCTCAACACCTCACAAGAAACGCATGCACAAGCACACGCAGGTGTGTGGAGTAACACAAATACACCTGACAATGACATCCTTCACAAATACAACGGATACTATTGCATCTACCGCTCGTTCTTCAAGGGCAACTTCGACATTGATTGCAACACTATACAATCGCAGTATGATCTCCATGGATGCCATGCTGGAGTAAAATAAGATCTAATATATCTGGAAACAGCTATTGGTTACCAGTCCCATCAATCGCAATTGTACTTGCTCAGCTTGCATATAGTGCACTATTGTACTTGCAGTTAATGTAATATTAATAAAATAAAAGGCCACTTAAGTGCACTTAAAGAGAGACACTTTCACACTTATTTTGATGTGTTGGCTAAAATACTTAAGCAAATCCTAAAGTACTTGATTATAATTTGAACTATATTTTAGTTAATATATTTAATATCTTTAAATGTACTAAATTGGAACTTCATTACAAATGTGTAATTACAAATTTATTTAAATACATGTCATACAATTTTCAATAGAAATTCCATTAAAATATATTGTAGTTTTGTACATGCATTTAACCATATATCAAACACAGTAGAATGAAATTACATATGAAGATATACTTAAGTTCTACTTAAGTCAGTCAAAACCACTCAAATAAAAAGTTAAAATAATTGCATTTAATATATATTTAAACTATAATACACTTTAATTTCGGTTAACTTGCAATTAAGCGTCTGAAAACATTACCTTCAGTTCACACTTAAGTATGTACCATTATTTCTATAATAAATGCAACGTTCTGTCATGAAAATCTAGATGGTGAAGGCTGATAGGTTCTAACTCAATCTGATATAACCACATCATTATTCACATGGTGCAACCGATTGGTTTTAGTTGCATCAGCAGCCAATGAGCTTGGTGCTGAACATTCAAATACAGTTATAGCAGTTGCAGCATGCTTCAGAAACCCTCCACCTTCCCCAGCTCCACCTGTACAAAACTGCTATGGGGTATTTCATGTATGTTATATGTGCAACAGCAGTATTTCCTACATGCTCACAGCAGCATGTCTGTGGATGTTTTGGCAGTAGAAAGTCGTGGTACTTGCTCTCCCACAGCAAGAGCAACATAGCAAATCTATTCCTCCAAGACCAAACACATTAACATTGTTATGTATATTACCATGCTAAACTTTCCGAGAGTTGTGATGACAGAAGTACTCTTTCAAAAAGTATGCTAAACCATGCTTTGGTCAGTTTGGGCCTGGTTTAGGCTGCACACCAATCATTGCTCTCAGGCCAAGCTGCCACAACAAGCAAAGCCTGTGCCAGTAACAAACCAGCATTGCTAAAACCAGATAAGCTTGGACTTTAGGTTGGTCCAAGTGTTCTTTTCAAGCACGGTTATAGGTGGGAGAAGATGACTCTCTTATTGTTTGGGCTTAAGGCTTTCAAGTGGCATAGTGACAACTATTTTTTAATCTGCTTGTGGCCCTATTATCAATTCCATTTTGCATCACATCATGCGGCACACCGCAACAAAC